CTAGGAGAGGACCTCGTGGCCTTCAACATGGGAGACGAAAAGGAAGGGGGGAAATGGAAAGAGAGCGCCAAGGACTCGGAGGTGTGGTACAACAAGGTCGAGGACGGGGCGGCATGGTTCATGAGGAAATGGCACAGGCAGGAGGCGGAAGCGTCCGCGAAGCGCCAGCGCGCGAGGGAAGCAGAAGCAGAGAGTACGACCATCTCAGGACCGAAGAGAAAGAGAACCGGGGAAGCGCCGGTGGGGGGGAAGAAACGGCGACCGGGCATGTACAAGCGAGTAGGGCGGCCGAGGCAGCGCTTGTGGCGAACTATGCACCCGGCTGATGTTGTTGCGCCCTGTTTCCCTCCCTGCTGTATGCTATACTCCTTTATGTATGTCCTTTGTATTGCCTTCGGCCTCTCTGCTGTGTTTCTTCTTTTCATGACCTCCCGGCCTACTCTGCTGTGTTGGGTACCTTGATATCGCTTTGCTGTTGCCCCTGTTTTTTGTACGTCTGGCTGTCTGCCCATCTGCCGCCTCTTTGCCCTGTTTGCTCCGTTACTCCCATGCCCTGGTGCGTGGTGCCTGTTGCTGGTACGTTACCCTTTGATTTTTTCTTTGGGCGGGTGTGGGAAGCGTCCTCCTATATTTTTTGTTTTTGTTTTATTTTGATCGGTTTCCGAGGGCTTTTTTCTCGAACGGTCGGTGCGATAACTGTTCTTTACTCTCTATCATTTTGTTTTCTTCTTCCGAGTGGTTTGTCCCCTATTTTGGTTTTTTGTTTTCTCGCGGCGTCGTATGTGCCGGGCTTTGAGACCAGGGGCTCCCCATTTTTTGTGGACAATAGAGCTAATGTGAGAAACAACAATATATACTTCAACATGGGAGACGAAAGGGAAGGGGGTAATAAATGGAAAGAGAGCGCCAAGGACCCGGAGGTGTGGTACAACAAGGTCGAGGAATGGCGGCATGGTTCATGAGGAAATGGCACAGGCAGGAGGCGGAAGCGTCCCCATAGCGCCAGCGCGCGAGGCAAGCAGAAGCAGAGAGTACGGCCATCTCCGGACCGACGAGAAAGAGAGCCGGGGAAGCGACGGTGGGGGGCAAGAAACGGCGACCGGGCACTACTGTAGAAGCGAGTAGGGCGGCCGAGGCAACACTTGTGGCGAACTTTTTTTTTTTTCTCCCATCATTGGANCGGCATGGTTCATGAGGAAATGGCACAGGCAGGAGGCGGAAGCGTCCCCATAGCGCCAGCGCGCGAGGCAAGCAGAAGCAGAGAGTACGGCCATCTCCGGACCGACGAGAAAGAGAGCCGGGGAAGCGACGGTGGGGGGCAAGAAACGGCGACCGGGCACTACTGTAGAAGCGAGTAGGGCGGCCGAGGCAACACTTGTGGCGAACTTTTTTTTTTTTCTCCCATCATTGGAGTCGTCTGCCCCTCTGGCCCCTATCCTCCACTTCTACTAGCTCGACGACCCAACCGGGGTCACATAAGAGGGGGGGGCTGGATCCCCCCCTGCGGTTCATGCCTGAGGAATTTTATCGCGAGAAGGGTACAGCAATCTCTTCCCTCGCGACTTACGAAGTCGATTATGGTTTACTAGCAACGAGTTTTGCAGCGCGTCGCTTTCATTCATCCTAGATAGATCAGGATGTATTTAGTGAGAAAAGAGCTCACACTGCAGGGACTCGAACCCATGATCTGGCCCTTAGCAGGCTACGAGGTTGCCCACTAGACCACGATGTACCCGGCTGATGTTGTTGCGCCCTGTTTCCCTCCCTGCTGTATGCTATACTCCGTTATGTATGTCCTTTGTATTGCCTTCGGCGTCCGTGCTGTGTTTCTTTTTTTTTCATGACCTCCCTGCCTACTCTGCTGTGTTGGGTACCTTGATCTCGCTTTGTTTGCTGTTGCCTTTGTATTTGTCGGTCTGGCTGTATGCCCATCTGCCGCCTCTTTGTCGTGTTTGCTCCGTTACTCCCATGCCCTGGTGCGTAGTGCCTGGTGCTGGTACGTTACCCTTTGATTTTTCTTTGGGCGGGTGTGGGAAGCGTCCTCCTTTATTTTTTAGTTTTTAGTTTTCTTAATATGACACAACGAGTCCATCTCTTATCATAGAAAAGAGTCAGAGACAGATTATCAATGGTATCATAGTCCTCCTTTATTTTTTAGTTTTTAGTTTTCTTAATATGACACAACGAGTCCATCTCTTATCATAGAAAAGAGTCAGAGACAGATTATCAATGGTATCATAGTCCTCCTTTATTTTTTAGTTTTTAGTTTTCTTAATATGACACAACGAGTCCATCTCTTATCATAGAAAAGAGTCAGAGACAGATTATCAATGGTATCATAGTCCTCCTTTATTTTTGTTTTTGTTTTATTTTGATCGGTTTCCGAGGGCTCTTTTTCTCGAACGGTCGGTGCGATACCTGTTCTTTTCTTTTTATCATTTTGGTTTCTTTTTCCGAGTGGTTTGTACCCTATTTTTGTTTTGTTTTTCCCACGGCGTCGCATGTGCCGGGTTTTGAGACCACGGGCTCCCCATTTTTGTGGACTATATAGAGCTAAGGTGAGAAACAACAACATACGTGTGGTGTGCTTCTCTCTCTCGCTGACGTCCTTTTCGCGGTGCCCGAGGACCGGTTCTCGAGATTTGGTTGGCTTCACCATGGGTCCATCTGGAAGGTCCGGGACACATTTTGAAAAAAATGTGTAGTCGATGTTTGTTGGGCCATTAGCACCCCTACCTAATAACAGTCGATTTTTATTAGCTCATATCAGACAGACAGAACCCAGAAGGTAAATTAGGAAGGGGGATCCATATTGTAAACAGTTTTCCAGGCATATGCGTTAGACCTGTGTTTCTACGTATTGTGTTGAGCAGCGTATGCGTAAATGCGTACGCATACTTGTAGACTATCTATGTATGCGTGTTATCCGTATGAGGTGATATGGTGAGATCCGGCCCTCCCTCTGTTGCCTCGAAAAAAAAATCAATACATGCGCATGTGCCTGTTCGCGTCCGTCCGTCCCTGGTAATTTCACCGCATGTTCGTCGCCCATCACACAACAACTCGCCCCTTCCCTTCGCCTCCTCGCCCTCTCTCCCGCCGTCTCTACATAGTCTCCCTCCAATAGGCGGCATCGGCCAGCCCTTGCACAAACGGATTCCCAATCCTTTTCCCTCTGTTTCGGGCTCTGTGAGTTCCGCCGTCGCTGCGTCTGTCGGCACGCACGTACATGCGGCCCCAAAGCGGTGATCATGGCCACTGCTGCTGCAACTCAGAGGCCTCCTGTTCCGCGGCTAACGTTGCCGTCTACCGAAGCAGTAGTAGGGAAAGGAGTCGAGAGTCCCACTTTCAGGAGGCAGATTAATGTGGCCCTTGGAAGGATGCACAGCCAGCGAACTCCTCGACGCGACGCCGTTTTCCACATCAAGGATGGCGGTATGGTGGAAAAGCAGAGGCTGCCTTTGGCAATGGCAACGTCGATGTCTGCCAGGACGACGGCGCAGCCTGGCGGGGGCGGCGAAAGTACGAAGGAAAAAGCTTTCTGCACCACTCTCAGGTATCATGTGCCGCTCTACGCTAGAACTACTCACACGTTCGTGGTATGAACAGCGACAGACAACGGGCCGTGGGTCAAAGCCTGTGTTCATCGATCGAAGTCTCGTGTGCATGTCGTCTCGACAGAGCATCTCGCAGAGCTCTCTGCTGGCTGTTTCTACACAAGTATAGTCAAAGGATGCGGATGATACGCACCTTGCCCGCCGTACGCAGCAGTTTAGACTATGATCATCACCAGGCATGTTTAGTTGCCCTCTTATCTCGGTTCGCATTCATTCGCGTCACAATTTAGGCTGGACACCACGGTATGTCGCCCGCAAGACCTAACTAATCATGCTTTACGCGTTCAAACGCACGGATGATTAGTCTATGAACCGACATCACAAATACATTGACGCTAGGGTAGTCACCTCAATCACGCTCCTTGTTTTCCTGCAGATCCCATTGGGTGACAAGCACTCAGTCGATGGCTCCGGCATTCTCTCCTCCCGAGACCAACGAGCCAACAGGCACCTGGTACGAGCAAGCCGACAGGGTATTTCGGTTCTTCGGGTTCATCGTCGACCAAGTGGATCCAACGAGCCGACAGGTGTACTGCTGTACTCTCCTACGAACGTCCGAAATACATTAACCGGAGCACGGAATATTGCTACTTTGCATCTCACGTCCCTGGATCACCATTCATTGCTTGATTTAGATCTTTAGATCAACGTCGGAGGAGGGAACTCACTGGCTCTGTACGTCTACCAGTGATTCCTCCGACATGAATTGAGAACGGCAGCAAGACGATAGTGCTACAGAAGTAGCAGAGTATCAAGCGGCCAGTGTTTGGCGAGCCTGAATTAAACAGAAGGCCTCCGCAACAGTAATATCGAACAGCAGTACGCCTACCTGTGCCTGATGTGTTGTGGCACCTTAAGGGTACCCGGACAACCTCCTGCTATGTTGCCTAATTTCGAAAACAAACGCAAGAGCGCCAGAAAATGCACTAGAGACACATATGACCAGTCGGAAGGCATCGCAAAAAAAACAAGTCCAAAATTCTGGCACAGGGCAGCAGTAGAGACCGCTCAAAACGTGCTTTTCGCGCGTCTACCTCCACACGCATCCTTTGAAACCAAGATAAAAATCCACACCAGTCTAAATTCAAGTCAAAAGAGCCCAAACGGAAGGCGCTCAAATAAGGCCGGTGTTGCTAGGAACCTGGTCCATTGTACCAATATCACTAGAGGACACCCTATAGCAGCGGGGGGGTGTGTTGGCGCGCTCAAAACTTCTTCTGTGGTGGTGGTATCGAGTGTCGTTGTAGTGGCCCACAATCTCCGCAAATCTCCGCAAGTTAGATCGACACCCAGTGTCTTGTACTGCTTGTGCTCGCCGCCACTGAACCCAATCTTCTGAACTGCAGGTTTACAGCAGTAGCTGATGCCACCAGCTACTGCTGACAACCCGCAGTTGAGGGGTTGGCGGTCCGTGGTGGTGAGCACCGCTGTGACAAGTGTTGGGTTCCGCTTGGTTCCGGCGCAGATTTCGGACCGTTTTCAGAGGCTGCTGCGACCTTCGATATTTCAGCCCCAGTAGTATACCTGAACGTGCCAGCACGCACGACGCCTCTTGATGATATCCTCTACTGATACTAGCACAACGGACCAGGTTCCTCCGGCGGGAAGGTTGTTTTCTTTCTTTGTACTGTTATAAAGTATGAGAAAAGAGCCAGCGTCAAAATCCCTTGTCTGGGTACCCTTAAGAGGTGGTGGTGGTAGACCCTCGACAGAACAACTAATAACAGCAGTATCAGGGTCAATTTCCAGATGTTCGAAAGTTCTTCCGGCGGTGTCGGCAATGACACACAGCCCCGGTTGCGAGGACACTGAGTCGGAACCGCGCGCACGGCTGCCGCCGCCGCCGCCGCTGCCAACAACGTGAATGCAGGCACCCCCCAGCATCCGCCTGGTGATCATCCACTACTACCCGCAAGATTCGACGCTGGAAGTGCTCGAGTCAAAGGAGACCGCCTATCCCGGCGCCGGTCGGTCTTTCGCACTCCGACGACCGTCCCGGGTGTCTCTGGACGAGATCAGGGTTGGCGATGACGTACTGGTGAGGAGTGTTACACAGAAGAGCCGATGTTGGTTCATTGATTGGGCTTCATTTCATGTTGTACATAATATACCTGCGAGCGGTGTTAGTCATACTCACTCTTCACGCTTTAGGATGACCTTTTCTACGGGTGAGAGTTTCCCTACATCTCGGATTGTAGAAGGTTGCAGCGCCGGTGTCCGTGTGGCTCAACCCGCTTACGTATTGCAAACAACACATTCCGAACTCGTTTCTAGGTAGAGGGGGGGTACTAACCAGCAAGCGATTGGAAGCACTTCGCGTCCCCCCTCTCCCTCTGTCCATCNCCCGCGTTCTCTCTCTCCACCTCACTCTGTCGATTCCCCCTTTTATCAGTAGCTGCCCCTCTGTGTCTTTCTGTCAGTTTAGAAATTAAACCATACCAACAGTCGGCTCGAAAACAAGGCCGTGGCCAGAACAATCCCTGCCACTACCTGCCCGCTACCAACAAAAACTCCTCAAATCCACTTCTTGGACAGAAGGTTTTATGATAGTCGTGCGTCATATTAAATTTCTTCGTCCGATCCGATGACGGAACCGTTTTGCAGATTAACGGCACGCGCGTTCATGTCTACGACGCGGACGGCTTCACCCGGCGGTCCATTCCAGGGTTGGGACCCCCGGAGAGCCCACCCGTGCCCGACAAGACGTTCTCCGTCACCCCCCGCAATGGCCCTCTGCCAACACCCCAGGTGCGGTGGGACAGGAGCGCAACACATTGCTGTTGAGTAAGCCGCGCGTGGGAAAAGTGTGGTGTCATGGACGCCAAATGCACGGTAGTCCCACGTGGATATATTCTTCCCCAAGATCAGGTGTGTGTGTGTGTTTGCGTGTGTGTGTACTCATAGTCGTGCATGCCGTAGTCGTTAGGCCATTGACCTCGCATCCCTACAAAGCCGGGACGGAGCATGCCGAATTCTCACCGGACCAGGCTCTCACATCACCAAGCGTGAAGCACCGTGAGGAATTCGGCGAGTCGCATGAAGGGTGCGCTGCATCCTGCTGAGGGTTTTCGGCATCTTGTGCTTGCTTCCTTGTGTACAGATGACAGCTGTGTATGACTTAATTTAGTTTCTGGTGCTATCACGAGGCAGTTGTAAGCACTGTGTAACTGCCTCGGGGGTGCTTGACCATTTCAACACAATGCGGTGCGACCATCCCCTTTGCACGGAGTGAGAGTTCTCGACCCCGCACAACATTATCTACTCGACCACCATTCATGGTGGGGGGGGTGTTACGTGTTGAGCCGGATCTTTGTCCAGAGGGGGGCCGCTTGGCTGCTAGCCGTCCGATACGGCGAGGCAGACTGCTATAGTACGAATAGAACAAGGGCCGCTTCACGGTGAGGCACCAATGCGGTGCTTGAGCTTTCATTGCGGCGGCGGCGGTTGTACATCCGAACCGAACGGAGAAGGACACATGTACTCCGCAGTCCCTCTCACGGAGGGTCCCCTAGTCTCTCAACGTGGACGGGCGACTGAAAGACAACACGCGGTTCAGGAGATCGCCTGCTTGCACCACACATGCACGGTTCCTGCCCCATGAACGGCCTTCGCCCAAGTTTCGCAATGCTTCCCCTTCCAGTGTTCCCTGCTCATGTTACCATGGTGTACGTTTAATGCTTGCTCGTATTTTTTCACGCCCCGCCTACAGCCAATTGTTCATGAGCGTTCAGTCTGGGATGCCCCCCAACACCCTTTCTTCCCGCCGCACCCTTCGCAGAACTCAACCGCAATGTCAGGGTCATGCCGTAGCCCTGGCTGGCGAACGGGAAGCACGACGTCGACGGAGGCTTGGCAGTCTTGGGATGGCGCCAGCGGTTCCGTGGTTAGCCAAGACCCCCCCAGCTTCTTGAGGATGTACATCAGGTACGCACCTATTACAATATAGTCCGATTTCACCTCCATGTCTACGACTACCAATCTCTTCTGGTCAACGCGCGGTGTGCGGCCTCCGTGTGGAACAGATGTTATTCCTTCGGGTCAAGGGTTACTCGTGTCTTACCATTTCGATGTCCGGCTCGTTTTTCTTCATGGATGGTTTTGTGTCGTGAAAAATGTTGTTGTTGTTTACATGTACAGTGGTACAGACGTTGTACGAGGGTGCTACTGCTACTGCTAGTAGTAAAACAATGAAGCGTACAAGGGCATCACGACACGGAGCGTTCCGCCCCACCACGCAGAACGCGAGAGCGATGCCGTGGCTTCGCCGAACCCAACCACTGACTCTTTCAAGAACCCTTCTGCAAACCGACATCGAAATGAAAGCATGTCGCAAACGGACTCTAACACCCTTGCAGAGTGGTTTTCCCATGTGCCCCTTGCCTGATGTGTGCAACGGCTCTCCTCCGCGAATCAGAATGGCGTGCCTATCTGACTGACTGAATGCTTGACTGTCTGTCTGTCTGTCTGTCTGTCTGTCTGTCTGCCTGTCTGTCTTGCTGTGTGACTGACTGACTGAATAAATGACTGTCTCTGTCTGTAGGTGGGACGAAGACGAGAGCGTCATCTCCGGTCCCGCTACGGTGCATCGGTACATCCTTCACTACTTCCTGGAGGACGGTACGATCGAGATGAGGGAGCTCGCCGACATCAAGGGAGGTGAGAAGAGAGAGTAGAAAGACGGCTGCGTCCACAGACGCCGGGCCTATCTTTGAAGCGGAAAACAAGGGAGAGACAACCAACAGGGGCGGGTTTTATCCTCCTTGATTTTTTCTGCGGCTCTGTACCGCCGTCATTAAGGGAGGTGGGACAAAGAAGCTAAAGAACGGTCCTCCTTGCATATTTCTGTGGCCCTGTGACACCCCCCCAACGCTTCTTCATTCAGTCTCCTGTGCTTCTCCAGTAAAAAAAACATCCTTCTCGTATCACAATGCAACAGGCAACTACTTCGAGGGTCGCTTCCCCGTCATGATCCGGCGGCAGAAGGTCTTCAAGGGAGGGAGCACGCCGAGCCTAAGCGTCGACCGCATCGGCGGCGACCGCGCCATCGCCGCCGCTGCCACCACGCCGCGATCGGCAAGAAGAGTCAACGGCGGAGGAGCCAGCAGTGGCATCGGCAGCGGGGGAAGTTTTTTTTCTGATAGAGGCGGCACCGGCGGGGGGGGCTGTAGGGATGATCTAGGAGATGATCTCGGAGAAACCCTGTCCCCGCTCGACCTCGTCGTCGGGCGGCAGGTGCTGCTGATGAAGCGGCCCATGGTGGTCTGCGGGTGGGACGAGACGGCGCACGTGTGGTGGGAGAACTTGACCGGTGAGGGATAGGCGGCAAGGGTAAGACAGGGGGGCGCTGTTCTGGTAGGTGAGAAATGCGGGAAGATCCTCGGCCCTTTTGGTAGTCTTGACGCCCTCGAAGGAAGCGGGCGTTCCGAGCCCACGCAGGAGACGGTAGGTACGTAGGTACTTTTGCTTCCCGAGGTTCGCTTCGCGCATTCGTGGAGAAAGCAGGAAAGAGATAAGATTTTCAAACGTCATCACGGCGTCTCTCTCTCGCCTGCGAAACGTTGGCCCTGTACGCATCCCGACGATTCCCACGCGCCAGATCTAACCCTTGCATTTCGCCCGTCCACGCGCCGCCCTTCCCCACTCGTGCTACTGTACTACCACCGGCGGACCCTCGTTTCGAAGGGACGAACATGCGCGGTCTGCAAGGAGGCCTGGAGGACTTCAAACGGTGCATCCAGCCGGGCCAATCCCAGCCGCGCCCCCCCAACAAGCCCAAGTCTTCCTTCTACGAGGGTCCGCCGCAGCGGACGGGAACATTGCGGGAGAGATTTTTCAAGGTGGGTTGATGTAGATAGTTTGTCTACATATTTTCTCCGAGGTTTGTTGACCCGTGTGTTTACTTGGTGCGTTCCAACGGTTCGAGCTTGTTGTGGAGAAAGCGGTGGCGGGGGAAAACGTTGGCAGGCATTTCCTCGCGGTCTTACACAGAAGCTTGCAACAGTCCTCGCGAAAGCAAACAAAGAGGTAAAGGCTCGATTCGATTCGTACACTACTCACTCCCGGGTAGACTGGATCGATTTCCACGGAAAGGGTTGGGGTTGGTTTCCGGGCCACAAGATGCTCTACCGTACTATGCAGAATCTCCTCTTAAACACGGGGTGGGTGTTTTTCTTCTTCTTTTATTTCTGTCTGGAGTGCATTGCAGGCAGCAAGAAAAGAGCTCGATGTATGTAACACCACCGCTATGTCCGTACATCTAGCCCCCCCTACTATTCACGGTGACGCAGGCTTCATGAACGGTGTGTGACTAGCTGGAAGCGGGGACAAGGTTGTCGGAACATGCCGGTTCGAGCCCACTCTCACAGAAAAGACGCACCCCCCAAAAAACGATTGTCGTGTAGCCCAACTCAAACCCAAAGCAGGGGTAGCACGAGGTCAGCAAGTTACTTTTTGTCTTCCCACGTGCTGTTCGTCAACCAGGAATGCTCAACTTTTTGCGCCAGAAGAGCGTCGAGCGAACCTCTCTTCTTAGCCCTCGTTTCCTTCCTTTCCTGTTGCGCTTGTACCTCGTCTCTCGATGACATCGCCGACGGCCGTTCGTACGACGAAACGTCCTGCTGACCTTCTCCTCTTCGACTTCCCGGACGACCCGGCGGGCAGGCGTCGGATAACTCGGGGAAGACTCTGCGGTTCATGGCGAAGGCGACTCAAGACACCAAGGTATTCATTATTTTTTCTATCTACATAACTTTAGTCAGCGCTCACGCACAGCGTTTCTGCCGAGTGGGAGCAGGGCTTATTCGAACAAATTTCATTCGTCACATAGGCAGCGGCAACACCTCGCTCGCAACCCCCCAAAAGCTGCAGAACTTAAAGCGCGGCCATGGCTCCTGCGCAGAGGCTTCGGCGATACGCTCGTCCAACGCGTGCTTGTTTGGTTCTATACGAAGGCTCGAGGTAGTACCGGCGACGTGCGCACGTGATGCTTGTTTCACCGACGTCGACATTTCCAACACTTCGACGGGCAACAAAAATGTACCAGCTTTTTCATCCCTCCCCTCCCCTCATGCACCGAACCTTTCCGATCGCCACCCGCCTGTCTCCTTCTCTACCTGCCCCGTTGTGGTTGGCCATGGGGGGAATGAATAGACGACGTCAACCAGGGACAGCGTGTTCATCATCCGCTTCTACCCGGAAGACGATGCACTCTCGGTCTACACGAGGTGATCATCATCAGACTTTTCTGCCTTTATTATTTCGGCGCGTTTTTTCAGTTTCGTTTTTTCCTTCGAGATATGACAGCCCGCTGGCCGGGTCTCCCTGCTGGCACCCTTGTCCGAGGAGACAGCTGCTGCTCGGCCAAGGGGTGAGGCGGACAAGAACGCCCCCCAGGCTACGTGCCATGCGCGTTCAGTTTTGCATTCAGCTGCTTCGTCTCTCCGGATAGATTTTCATGCCTATTTCTACATCACAGCCACCACCGCCGCCGCCACCTCCGCAATCCCATGTTCGGCGAACCGAACTGAACGGGCAGCCACAACCTGGGGAAGAACGCTGGCGGCCTGTACAGAGGAGTCTACCTCGCGAGGTGCCACGACATGGTCAACGAGGCTACCGGCGAGCCGTTCAAGGCTCGCGACTTCCACATCGGCTCCGTGGCCAAGCTCCCGAGCATATCGCTCGAGGTAAGGGCTGGTGCCCCCCAAAGTACGTCGCATTGTTCAACCCCCCCCAGAGCAATACTGGGGCAAGGGGAGTGGGCTGAAAAAGCGGCAAGTGATATCGATAGGACAGATAGGGTAGAGAAACATTTTATCAGCCGCCGTTGGCAGAGTAGAAAGGAAAGATTAGCCATCGGTGATAGGAGCTGCGGGAACAATGCCCCGTCCTCTCGGGGGCGCGTGGTCAATGGTCTAGCCGCTAAGGCTTGGAAAACACGATTACGGTCCCGCCCTCGCCGCCGCCGCCATACTCGGCGTGCCTCGGCCTGTTCATGGAAGCTCCAAGTCCCTGTGAGAGTCTCCGGCGTTTGTCCGCGGTCTTGCTGTTTGGCACTGACTACCGGGAAGTGGTTTGCCTGGGCCTAAAAGGGTCGCCCAACGATGTTGGTGTTTATGGTCGTTGTTGTTGTTGTTGTTGTTGTTGTTGTCGTCATCCTTACAATAAAAACCGTTCCGGCCTCCGCTCGGTACTTCTGATGTCCGTACTGGTCCTACTGACACGGACGCCTTCCGCGGTCACAAGCCTTTGAAAAAGCTGTCAGCCCGATCGTGTTAACTTAGGTGCAGGCTACGATTCCCTGAGTCATTATTTTTAAGAAAGAGAACGGCGTGGAAACACTTGACGCCGGGCGTGGCCTGCACCAGGGGCAGGATCCACATGAACCCTCTTACTTCGAAGGGGAAGAGCGATTTGTGAAACCTCTCTTGGACAAACGGCTCCGAGCTGCAATGTAGTGAAACTCCTGTCACAGCAGCTGTCAAGCTGGCACGCGGGGAGACGCTCTATTTTGAGCATCACGATGACGAACGTGCACCCAACACTTGACCTCCCAAGAATTCCGTGCTCTTGTAGCGGAGGGAGCACTCGGCAGCATGTGTGTTAATCCTGTTGCGGCGGCACCCTATGCTGGAGGTTTTCGGCCGATCAGGAACACTTGCAATCCCAAACATCTTCGCCCTACGTCCATCTTTGACTCTCACTTCAATGCCTACGTCAGATTGTCGACGTCGACGACTTCAGCCGGCACTACCTCGCCCGGGAAACGTCTTCTTCCGACAGGCACTGGCAAACCGCGCCCATGTGGAGCAGACTCCTAGCCTTGGCTACTCCGAGCGGGGCCGAGGTGACCGAGTCGGCGGAGGCGAGGGCTACCCCGGGAGCGCACAAACACGTCGGATTCCATCCTTTCTCGCCCGATAAAAGCACCCCCTTCGAGGGTACCAACGGTGAAGGAGCCGGCGCGGCCGAAGAGTCTCTCCAACCCAGCGACAACGGCGGCCTGCAAGGGTTCTCGCACGAGAACCACGCGGCCCGGGGCGGCGGCGGTGCTGGTGCTACCGATCCGGCCGCTTCCGCCCTCAGGTCCAAAAACCCCTCTTCCTTGTCTCGCGACAACCGCGACGGGTGCAGCGGCCAAAGCTCGGCGATCTTCGCCCGCCTGTGGTCCGAGGTCATCGGGGACTACGACGACGACGACGACGACGACGACGACGACGACGCCCGCGCCGCCTTCCCTGCGGGCGACCGATATAACAGAACCCCTGGCGGAGGAGCGGGTGAAACCCGGACGGTCGTGAAGAAGAACTCAGCAGTATCATCATCATCATCATCATCATCCCCACAACAATCACGGGCCCCCTCTCCTTCGTTCCTCTCCAGCAGTAGCAAGTACCACCGCCAGCAGAATCGGGATCCTTGGGAGCGGCTCGTCGCCGCGCTGCGCAAGGTCCGCGGGGTCGACGTGTCGAGGGCCCTGACCGCCCACGAGCACACCCTCCTACGGAGAGAGGTGGCCGACTGGCTCCACCGGGCGCGGGCGGGTCCGGGGAGGGGAGGAGGAGGAGGAGGAGGAGGAGGAGGAGGAGCCGCCACCGCCGCCGACGAGCGGGGCAAGGGGATGGCTGCGCGGCTGGCCGCGGCGGCGACGGCGGCGCTGAGCATGAAGGACACGGCCGCCCCGGCGGCGACGGCGGCAACCCCGAGGCAGACCCGCGTGGTGGGGGGCCCGTGGGATGATGCGCGCGGGGCGGTAGACTGCGACCACGGCGGCGGTGGTAGGGCGGCGACGAAGTCTGCGGTTGTCAAGGCCGGGGTCGTCCCCGATGAGATAAATCCCACCGCTTGGAGTTTCGATCACGGGGGCGGCCAGCGAATTTCGGTGGGAGGATTCTCGTTTCCGGCGGTCGTGGTGGAAGGGGAGGGGGCAACGCCGGCGACAAACGGGGGGGCTCCGCTTTCGCAGGCGACCGCGGGCGAGGAGCCGGGAGCAAGGGCGGCGAACGGCGGGTCGCAGAAGAGGCTGGAGAGGCAGCTAGACCTACGCGGCGTGGTTCTGGATGCTCACGAGGTTATTTGTTAAGAATATAGATAGGTGCTGGCTATTCTTGTACACAAGAGAAACGCGGCTGTAGCACAGTCCCCCCCTTCTCCTTGGGTGTGGTGCACAGCTACCTAGTACTCTACGAGAGAGCGAGAAAAACGTGCCCGCAGTTTCCTGGTTAGACAATTGTTTTGAAAGGAGTTTCTGATTGGCCAAACATCCCTGGTCGAGATGATGTGTCATCCACGGCGGGTTTACTTTGTTCTTGAAAAAATCAACAATTTCAATCTGACCGTATATATTGTTGCGTCCGCTGATTGTTGATGATGATTGGTCAATTTTGACATCTATCTCCCTGTTGGTTGGTGAGTACAAATGCACACAACTCCCCGCGACTGCTGTACCATACACTGAAATACAATTATGGGTAGCCTGTGTGACTTGCCACCATTATTAACTGCCCATATTCCCAACAGAGACCAATCACCGAGGTACAGCAGCTACCAACAGCAGCAATGTTGTTCGTTGGAGGATGTAGTACACGGAGGATGTATGAAACCACACCGACCGACTGACGTTGTGCGTGTTGGTGGCTGAACCACTCTTGAACCACCACTCACTCCACCCAGCAGTAGACCATACATTCTCCATCCATCCATCATCGATCCACACTTCATTCACCACACACAAAGTACGCGACAAGGTAGTAATAGCAGGTACCATCGAATCACAATGATGTTGTGCCCACGACGAGATTAATATCGTTAAGAGGATCCACGATCAATCTTCACTCGACGAAACATTCGAAAGATATACGTAAGTCACAACAACAGCGACAACCACCCGCACGTACAACAATTATTTGGTAGGTTCCTGCGACCGGAAGAGACGACAAGATCGTGCGGCGCGCTCTGGCCAGGGTACAGGCCCAGGTGTTCGGCCAAGGGGGCGAGGTGTCAGTGCTGAGGGCGCTCAAGGCGGAGGGGAAGACTCCAGGAGACGCCGCGGACTTGTGGACGACGTGCCGCCTGCTGAATATCGTAGGTAAGTTGGGTGTCCGGGGAGCGGCGGAAAGGCAGTAGGTGTGTGGCGCGACTTGGGTACTCACTCTCTTTGTCGGGTGCTATCCTCGCTGGTTCCAGGTTGGATAATTTCGCTCCTTCGCACCTTGTCTGTGGCGGCGTTGATGTGTCACCGGCGTGCGGTGTTGTTCTGAGGAGGCTTCGTACTAAGCGTGTAACCCGCATCCACCGAGTGCGCTACGCTCGTGTTTCGATATACCTAGTGACCCTAGGAAAACCCTGGCTAGCGACGGAAAACGTCCATCTGTCTGTGAATATGTGTGCACGAGGACAAAGACTATCGAAAATCGTTACGTGCAACCACCCAATCGTTTTCTCGCCTTGATCCGCCCTCGCAATTCAACCGCCTGCTGGGCAACACTGGTCACTGCATCGCACCGCACCACACGGCAGCGGAGCTGTCCCGCCGGGAAACCGAGGGCCTGTGGCTCAAGTTCATGCCCGCCGCCGTCGAAAAGGCGGGGGACGGGGGAAGGGTGACTTTCGCGGGTTTCCTGGAGTCCATCAGGACCTTCGAGGTGTGCCTAAGGAGGGGGGAGTTGTTGGGGCTGACGAGCATCGGGCGGAACGGCAACTGCGCCGGACCCCTTGTCGAGGATACCAGCAAACGGAAACAAACCCAGGGACAGAACCGTTCGTGAGGGCGATGGGAGTCAAATGATTGGAGAAGGAAAGCATGAGGAGGTTGGTAGATTCAGATAGTGCAAAAAACATACAGTGTTTGTTGTTGATGATGCGTCAACCGGAGGGTTGAATGGTACGTCGAGACCAACATTGAAACAGAAGTAGTTACGAGGCTACAAAGCAGACAGCGGTAGATAAGTAGCCTAGTGCCTCTGCGCGTTCAATAATCTGCTTGTAGTTGTGAAAGCCACGCACACGTTGGGATAGTTGGTGAGTCCTTGTTGTTGGAAAAAGCAAGTAGTAATCGGAGGAAAAGTTGTTCCAGGATAACGAAAAATACCAGGCAGAGCGTGCTTTGACTACGCCTTCTCAGCCTCCGGGAATACGCAACAGTCGGGAAATTCAAGGTGTCACCCCCACCATCATGCTTTCGGTCTCTGGTTGGGTTTTCTCTTGTAGGCATATTCAGGGATTGGCAATTACTGGTAGTGCCGCGCATGTAGCGAGGCAATGACTTGTGGTGTTCGAACTAGAGGGAAAATCGGTACCGCATGGATTCATATGTGGTCGCCGCCATGTTGTGAGAAAAAGGGTAGTAGATGGACTAAGCAAGGCTCTCCCGAGTCGTGATCCATGTTTCGACTAGAGTAGTAGTAGCGGGGCTATCCGTCATCACTCTAGGACGGCATACAACCAAGCCGAGGGAAGTCTTGGGGAGGATGAGGCGAAGACGTGGCCCAGGCAAAACACGAAGACAGAGCCCGCCATGTCTCCATATGCAGTCCCATACTCACTCAACCAGTCACTGACCGTTGGCTTCTTTGTGGTCTTGCGCAGAATGACTTCGGACGGCAACATCGCGTATAGTTGCACATGTGTAGTAGTTAATCAGCGGTGGGTTTGGAATCGATTCATTTAATGAATGAATCAATTTTCCCGCTCGACAAAGGAGTGAGACTGTTCGTATCTCGATGGAAACCAGCGGAGAGAACAACAGTTACGATCGCTGACGCCCATGAACGCAAGCCGCAAGACAACACTCACACGCTCATCGTTCGCATTGAAACTCGCTTTGACCAGATACTCCAGCCGGCGAAGCATCGGAGTGCGCCATGGTGCCACATACCCATTTACTTCAAGACCGATACACGGGGCACCTTTGGCCATAGGGGGCGCATCAAGAGACAAAACCACACCTTCCCGTGCTTGGTGCTACGAGTAAATACTCCAAAACACACACAAGACCAACCCATTGTCGACCCCGATCCCTATTTCAGGACTGTTTGTCTCGAGCCGGACGCCGTCCGGCCGCGGCAGACGGCAATGCGCCGCGGTGCGCCGGCCACACCAGCCCACCACCTACGGTGCTTGCTCCACCTCCAGCCCATCCGCGCGCCTCCCCTTCAACCCGACCTTCGTCGCCCCGAGTGCCAGGGTGTCCTTTCCTTGTACAACCAATGCCAGCCTCTTGTCGTGGATTGCTTCCTGGTGGTTGGTCGCTCCCCCACCGGCTGCTTCCCCAAGGACGATGGCATGTATGAAGGGTTGATCTGCCGCCGCCATCCGCCGCCGCCGTCGTCGTCGTCTCACTCGAAGGGAAATACGAGTCTTCGCTTTCGTACGTCTCTTCCCACCGCTCGGACATTCCTTCAGCAAAACAGAACATATTTTGAACGTGTTGTTGGTTGTGGATTGTTGTTCTGACTGTTGTTGTCGCTGTTGTTATTGTTGTTGTTGTTGTTTTCGGCATCGAAACGGTGTGTGATGTACTCTGAGCTGTCTACCTCGCCGAGGAACGCTCCGACTATGAAGCGAGTCAAGTTCAATGGAGAAAATCACGAGGTTCACGCTATTTCGCGGTTACCATTGCACGACCCCCCCCTCCCCCCAACGTTGCCTTTACGCCACTCTTCGATCTCGCGATGCATTACGGTACAGGTGCATGGCATGCGCCAGGCGGGAAAAGCACTATCCTCGCATGACACGCGCCATCCCCCCAGTGTCAGCCAAGAAACTCGCAGCACCAAATCAAATTGAGACCTTGTTCGGGGTGGAGGCGTGCCACTCCCAATCCAGAAAGGATCTCACCTTCGCCCAGCGGCGGCGCCTGCAGGCCGGAGTGATGTCGAAAGACTTCTCTAAAGAACCTGCCGAATAACGCCTCCTCCTCGTTCGACAGTTTCGAAGCGCACTTTCTTTCACCGGTGGGGTGTGGGTACATGTGTACCGCGAGAGGTTCACGATGTCACAAAGCAGGGAACGCGCAGGACAAGATCGACGACGAATAATAAAACAAGACACGCGTGTCAAAGGGGGCGAGGTCGAGTCTAGATATTTTTCGGAGTGCCACGGAGGCCTCCATCATCTGGAGGAGGCTGCACCGCACACAACGCAGAGTGAAAAGTTTCCCCCGAGAATACAACAGTAGTGACAAAGGCACATCGCACCTACGGACATTCCACGGGGATTCACGATCAAGATCAGGCTGGAGGCCATCGACGGCGACTCGCGTGAAAAAAGATCAACCCAGTACGGGCCTTAGCAGGTAAACAGGCCTTAGGCAGCAGTCCAACCTCCCTTCCTTTCTAGGATGTGTGGTCAATGGATGGTCTATTATTTAAGTCATGCAAAACATGACTACGCCCCCGGCCCCCACCTCCTATCACTATCCACCGGCTGGCCCGAGGCTCGGTTTCTCACCACAGCCACGTGCCCGGCGCCGAGCTCCGACGCTAGCGCCCCCCCCTCGCGCCGCACGCCTTCTCCGGTATCCGCCTTGGCCCCGACCACCATGAGAGGGATCCTACCGCCGCCTACCGCTGCTGTTCCAGACCCTCCTCCTTCCAGGTCGGCGGTCAGTCCTTCCGAGAAGAAATACGGTGGATGTTCGGTGCTCCTCAAGCTCCTCGCGTACGGGGCGGTGGCACTCGAGCGGCCGTTGTTGTCGCTCTCGCCGAGAACTGAGATCCCGGCGGAGTCGAGCTCGGCGACCCACACGCGTAGGTCTCGCAGCGACCTTTTTTGGTTGTGGTTGTTGTTGTTGTTGTTGTTGTTGTTGTTGGTAGCAGCGGTTGTGGTCGCCACACGTGCGCAGAAAACATAACAGGGCGTTGGGTCGGGGCACGTGGGGGGGGGGGGGCATCG